CCATCCGAACCATCTTCATCATCACACGAATCATCATCATCTGAATCAGTATCATCATCATCATCATCCGAGGCATCAGCAACATCATCCGAATCGTCATCCTAATTAGCATCATCATCATCCGATTCATCATCAGCATCATCCGATTCATCATCTTCAACATCGCATAATCATCATCATAATCCGAATCATCATCACTATCATCCGAATCATCATCATCAGCATCCGAATCAACATCATCGTCATCCGAATGATCATCATCATCGTCGTCATACGAATCATCATCATCAGTATACGAATCATGATCATCGTCATCCGAATCATCATCATCATCTTCCGAATCATCATCCTTATCAGCATCATCATAATCCGAGTCATCATCACCACCATCCGGATCATCATCATCAGCATCCGAATCAACATCATCGTCATCCCAATGATCATCATCATCGTCGTCATACGAATCATCATCATCAGTATACGAATCATCATCATCGTCATCCTAATTAGCAAGATCATCATCCGAATCATCATCAACATCCGAATCATCATCCTAATCGACATCTTTATCATCCGATTCATCATCATCATCATCCGAATCATCTTCATCAACATGCGAATCATCATCCTAATTATCGTAATCTTCATCCGAACCATCATCATCAACATGCGAATCAATATCATCATTATCCGAATCATCATCATCATCATCCGAATCAGCATCCCAATCAGGATTATCATCATTCGAATCACCATCCTAATCATCATCATCTTCATCCGAATCATCATGCTAATCAGCATCATCATCATCCGAATCATCAACCTAATCAAGAGCATCATCATCTGAATCATCATCCTAATCAACATCATCATCATCCGATTCATCATCATCAACATTCGAATCATCATCATCATTATCCGAATCATCATCCGAATCATCATCATCATCATGAGAATCATCACCCTAATTAGCATCATCGTCATCCGAATCATCATCCTAATCATCATCATCGCCATCCGAATCATCATCCAAATCATCACCATCATCATCCGAATCGTCAACCTAATCAAAATCATCATCATCCGATTCATCATCATCATCATCATCCGAATCATCATCAGCATTATCCGAATCATCATCCCAATCAGCATCATTGTCATCCGAGTAATCATCCTTATCATCGACATAATCATCATACTCGTCATCCTAATCATCATCATCACCATCCTAATCACAATCCAGATCAGCATGATCATCATCGTAATCATCATGATCATCATCCGATTCATCATCAACACCATCCGAATCATAATCCCGATCAGCATCATCATCATCCGAATCATCATCCTAGTCATCATCATCATCATCCGAATCATCATCAACACCATCCGAATCAAAATCCTGACCAGCTTCATCATCATCCTTTTCATCATCATCATCATCATCATCATCATCATCATCATAATCCGAATCATCATCGACACCATCCGAATCATAATCCAGATCAGCATCATCATCATCCGAATCATCATCCTAATCAACATCATCATCATCCGAATCATCATCCTAATGGACATCTTCATCATCCGATTCATCATCCTCAACATGCGAATCATCTTCATCATTATCCGAATCATCATCATCATCATCGAAATCATCATCCCAATCTGCATCATCACCATCCGAATCATCATCCTTATTAGCACCATCATCATCCCAATCATCATCATCATTATCCGAAACATAATCCGAAAGGTCGTCATCATCATCATCCGGATGAACATCATCAATATCCGAAACATCATCATCAACATCGAAATCTTCGTCATCATTATCCGAATCATAGCTATCTTTATCTGAATCGTAATACTAATCATCATCATGATCATCGGAAACATCCACATCCGAATGATCAACATCATCATCCGAATCATCATCCTAATCAACATCATCATCATCCGAATCATCATCCTAATCATGATCATCATCATCCGAATCATCATCCTAATCAACATCATCATCATCCGATTCATCATCATCAACATGCGAATCATCATCCTAATCGACATCTTCATCATCCGATTCATCATCATCATCATCCGAATCATCATCATCAACATGCGAATCATCATCGGCATCGTTGGAATCATCATCCTAATTAGCGTCATCTTCATCCGAATCATCATCATCAACATGCGAATCAACATCATCATTATCCGAATCATCATCATCATCATCGGAAACATCATCCCAATCAGCATCATCATCATCCAAGTCATCATCCTAATCATCAACATAATCATCATACTCATCATCCTTATCATCATCATCACAATCCTAATCATAAACCTCATCAGCATGATCATCATCGTAATCATCATCATCATCATCCGATTCATCATCTACACCATCCGAATCGTAATCCTGATCAGCATCATCATCTTCCGAATCATCATCCTAATCATCATCATCATCATCCGAATCATCATCCTAATCGACATCTTCAACATCCGATTCATCATCATCATCATCCGAATCATCTTCATCAACAAGCGAATCATCATCGGCATCATTGGAATCATCATCCTAATTAGCGCCATCTTCATCCGAATCATCATCATCTACATCCGAATCATCAGCATCGTCATCCGAATTATCATCCCAATCACCATCATCATTATCCGAATCATCATCATAATCAGCATGATCATCATCCGATTCATCATCATCAACATGCGAATCAACATCATCATTATCCGAATCATCATCATCATCATCCGAATCAGCATCCCAATCAGGATTATCATCATTCGAATCACCATCCTATTCATCATCATCTTCATCCGAATCATCATGCTAATCAGCATCATCATCATCCGAAACATCAACCTAATCAAGAGCATCATCATCTGAATCATCATCCTAATCAACATCATCATCATCCGATTCATCATCATCAACATTCGAATCATCATCCGAATCATCCGAATCATCATCCTAATCATCATCATCATCATGAGAATCATCACCCTAATTAGCATCATCGTCATCCGAATCATCATCCTAATCATCATCGTCGCCATCCGAATCATCATCCAAATCATCACCATCATCATCCGAATCATCATCCTAATCAACATCATCATCACCCGATTCATCATCATCATCATCATCCGAATCATCATCAGCATTATCCGAATCATCATCCCAATCAGCATCATTGTCATCCGAGTAATCATCCTTATCATCGACATAGTCATCATACTCATCATCCTAATCATCATCATCACCATCCTAATCACAATCCAGATCAGCATGATCATCATCCTACTCATCATGATCATCATCCGATTCATCATCAACACCATCCGAATCATAATCCTGATCAGCATCACCATCGGCCGAATCATCATCCTAGTCATCATCATCATCATCCGAATCATCATCAACACCATCCGAATCACAATCCTGACCAGCTTCATCATCATCCTTTTCATCATCATCATCATCATCATCATCATCATCATCATCATCCGAATCATCATCGACACCATCCGAATCATAATCCAGATCAGCATCATCATCATCCGAATCATCATCCTAATCAACATCATCATCATCCGAATCATCATCCTAATGGACATCTTCATCATCCGATTCATCATCCTCAACATGCGAATCATCTTCATCATTATCCGAATCATCATCTTCATCATCGAAATCATCATCCCAATCTGCATCATCATCATCCGAATCATCATCCTAATCATCAACATCATCATCCTGGTCATCATCCTTATCATCATCATCACCATCCGAATCATCATCCTTATTAGCACCATCATCATCCCAATCATCATCATCATTATCCGAAACATAATCCGAAGGATCATCATCATCATCATCCGGATCAACATCATCAATATCCGTAACATCATCATCAACATCGAAATCTTCGTCATCATTATCCGAATCATAGCTATCTTTATCTGAATCGTAATACTAATCATCATCATGATCATCGGAAACATCCACATCCCAATGATCAACATCATCATCCGAATCATCGTTCTATTTAGCACCATCAGCAAACGAATCATCATCATCATCATCCGGATTGTCATCATCGTCATCCGAATCATCATTCTAATTAGCACCATCATCAAACGAATCATCATCATCATCAACTGAATCATCATCAACACCATCCGAATCATAATCCTGATCAGCATCATCATCCTCCTAATCGCCATCATCATCATCCGAATCATCATCATCATAATCCGAAACATAATCCTAATCGTCGTCATCATCATCCGAATCAACACCATCATTATCCGAAACATCATCATCAACATCGAAATCTTCACCATCGTTATCCGAATCATCGTCCTCACCATCCGAATCATAATACTGATCATCATCATGATCATCGGAAACATCCACATCCGAATCATCATCATCATTATCCGAGTCATCATCGGAATCGGCATCGTCATCATGGGAAATATGATCTACGTCGTCGGAGTCATCATCAGCATCATCATCCCAATCATCTTCATCATCATTCGAATAATCATCATCATTATCGGAATCATCATCCGAATCATCATTTTATTCAGCATTAGCATCATGCGAATCATCATCGTCAACATCCGAGTCTTCTTGATGATTGTCCGAATCGTCATCATCTTCATCCAAATCATCATCCTAATTGGTAACACCATCAGCCGAATCATCATCATCATCATCATCATCATCCGAATCATCATCACCGTTATCCGGAACATCATCATCATCATTCGAATCATGCAAATCATCATCATTATTATCCGAGTCATTATCCGAATCTGCATCATCATCGTCGGAATCATCATCATCATCATCCGAATCTCCAACATCATCATCCGAAGCATCATCATCGTCATCCGAATCATAATCCTGATCCACATCATCATCATCGGAATCATCATCATCATCACACGAATCATTAACGTGATGATCATCCGAATAATCATCGTCATCATCCGGGTCATAATCATCTTCTTCCGAAACATGTCCATCAACGTCCGATTCATCATCATCATTATCCGTATCATCATCCGAATCATCAGTATCATCATCCGAATGACCGTCTGATTCAACATCACGAATATCCGAGTCATCCTCCGAATCATCATCATCACGCGAATCATTATCATCATCATCATCCGAATCATCATCGTCATCATTCGAATCATCATCATCATAATTCGAATCATCATCCGAATCAGCATGTTCATCAAGCGAAGGATCATCATCATCAACCGAATCATCATCATCCGAATCATCATCGTCATCATCCGAGTCATCATCATCTTCCGAATAATCATCATCATTATCCGGAGCATCATCCGAATCAGCATCACCATCATCCAAATCATCACCATCATCGGAATCATGGTCATCATCCGAATCATCATTATCAGAAGCATCATCCTCATCAACGAGATCATCATCATCCGAATCATCATTCTCAACATCTGAATCATGATCATCATCACACGAATCATTATCGTCATCATCATCCGAATCATCATCATCATTATCCGAATACTCGTCCGAATCATCATCTTCATCATTCGAATCATGATCATCATCTTTCGAATCATCATGGGAATCAGCATCTTCATCATGCGAATGATCATCATCATCCACCGAATCATCATCATCCGAATCATCATCCTCATCATCCGAATCATCAACCGTATCAGCATCTTCATCATGCGAATGGTCATCATCATCATCCGAAACGTCATGATCCGAATGATCATCGTCATCATCCGATTCATCATCATCATTATCCGAATCATCATCATCATCATCCTTCTCCGAATCATCATCATCATCATTCGAGTCATCATCATCAATATCAGGTTCATGATCTTCATTATCCGAAGCATCTTCTTCATCATCCGATTCATCATCATCATCATCCGAATCAGCATCATCATTCGAATCATCATCATCTTTATCCTAGTCACCATCATCCCAATCATCATCATCATTGTCCGAATAATCAACCGAATCACCAACATCATCACCCGAATCATCATCATCATCATTATCCGAATCGTCGTCATCATCGTCTTAATCATCCTCATCATCCTCATCATTATCATCATGAATACCATCCGAATCATCATCCGAATCAGCATCATCATCATCCGAATCATCATCATCGTCATCCGAATTATCATCCCAATGATCATCATCTTCATCATCATCCGAATCAACATCATCATCGTCCTATCGGAGGAGGCGTGGGGTTGGGGATTCGGATGATCCTCGCTCTTCTCGGTCTCAGACCGCTGGGATGATGAAAAACTAGACGTGAAATGAAATTTTCCATCGTATGTTAGCGATGAATGCTTCTGTGGAAAACGTATGGGGGAAGTATAGATGACGATCCAGCCAACCCCAAAACCGGATAGTGCCGTTCAGTCTAGCTAGTTTTGTACCACCGCGCCACTACGTGCCCACGTCCATTCAGCACGGTCGCATAATTCAAGATTTTTCGAATGAGTAAATAACCTGGACAGATTGATTGGAACGATACAAATGGGGCTAACAAGTTTCATCTACTAGCCAGATACAACACTTCATATAACTCAGGGAACAACGTGTAGATCTGAAGAAGACAAAAACACACACACATCAGATTTATAGGATGTGTAATATTTGGGGGGCTGAGGGGCGGGGCTGGGGGACGGGGCGGGGCGTTGGGATTTTCAAGCATTCAGATAATCATATTGTTGATTTGCGGGAATCTGTCCGTCCAATCTATCGCATGTAACGGGTCCCGTTAAGGGCTATGAAACCTCGATTATTATCCATCTATATAAGAAGGCTATGAAAATTAGATTAAACAAAACCGCGCGCCCGAAACAGTTCGTTCGATTTCTTATCTTCCCTTGTCCGATGTGTTTGAAGTGTCCACCCCTTGCAAATCAGCAAACCAACTAAGATTCCGACCAATGCAAATGCACACTTCGCAAAATGATTATCATCAATTATAAAGGAGTGAGTTTTTGAACATTTATATCTGAATTACCCTGTTCCAGCATTTTTTCTCCCCAATTCGGTTTTTCCACCTCTCTGCGTTGCTGATTGAGTTACATAATGTGCGGTCGATGGAACCCAGAAAAATAAAACAGGTTCTCTGCACAGCGAGTAATTCAATCTTGCCGTTCAGATAACTACATCGACACAGGTCAATTTTTCCTTACCCGTAGCGCTTTTCTCCAACCGTAATTATTGAGATTGGCAACAGCCTATATTTGACCGTCGATTGTGTAGCTCAGTGGTAACGGTTTGAAGTCCAGATCCGAAAGTTCGCACGCGGTTCGAGTCCTGACGGGGACACAAAAAGTACGCACTACTGACGAGTCGCAAAAAAGAAAAAATGAACGAAACAGTTGTCCAGTGCTCTTTGTCGGTTATCACAAACATTTTTATTGCATCTGACTGTTCGGTCATGTTCATATTATTTTGAGATAATCCTTGTTCCGTTCCGTGTTGTGAGAGCAGAGAACCTCGAACCTCGTCGCTAAATGTGTTTCACTCCCCCCCCCCATCGCTTCCTGCACCAAAGGACACAAATATCCTCTTCCCGGTGTGAAGCATTGATTGTTATTCACCAGCGGCTACACATGACCTTGAACTTACCATATATGATGGGCCATGTTCATTTCCTTACAGGCATTGCTCATCCTCACTAATAAACCTTCATAAATTGGAAATCAGACATATTCCTGTAAATTTCTGACATAGTGAAACCAAATTCAATAATTCCTAAACGCTGGGAATCTAGTTGATACGACGGTTGTAAAGGTAGACGAAAAAATCTCTACGGCCTTAGAGAACCAAATCGCATACTGAAACGAAAACCATACAGTCTCATTCGCGAAAACACATACCTCATTGCACAAATCCGCCATTTGTTCCACAATCATTGCCAGTCTGCCCAGAGCCAGACCACTTCTATCCGGTTTCGTCACAACTGCGCTGCCCAGTTTCACTACCACTTTCTTCACGTCTTTCAGCTCGGCCCGACTCTGGGCCAATTTGTACAGAACGGAGCATTGATGCAGTGCGCGTAAATTGTTCCGGAGCGTGCTCGATCCGTCTAGACCCACATGGGATGCGAGTGCAATGCGATTGGCAATCGAATGATGCAAAATTGCTCTGCGTAACGGAAACATCTTGGTCCGAGTGGTTGTTATTGTCGATGTTGGTACTGGTGTTGTCCGCGATCACACACACGAAAACGTTTAGTTCACAAAACACTGATCCACCGGAGGTGCCAGTATGGCAGTTTTATACGCGATAACCAGGGGTTGACTTGCTTCAGGAGAATATGGACTATTGCGTGGGGTGGTGAACCACATATATGTATATGTGTATATACATGTACACACACACACATATGCACAATGTCTGCTGATTTCAGTGATCACTGAGAATGACGTGAGAGACTGTGAAGTGCGCAAAGTTGTCACGATTTATAAACATATATATACATGCAAAACATCACGTATGAGCTTGTTCGAGCCAACTAGCAGCGGGCATATGTGAGCGGGCGATCGGCCAGTCAGTGGAAAACCCCGGTCTCAGATGACCTCGGAAAAATCCAACAGTAATCACGAACGGTTCTGCACGAATAACGTGATCCGAACGTATTATCAACATGGAGAGCGTGCTCCGTCAGTTCCGGATACCGACCGAGTGATCACAAACTTCACAATGTGAACTTCTCAATTATTGGTCTGTAATTTGTGTCTGTGATCGGTGGTCTTGTCATAGTAACCATTGTGACAGATTGATAGAGCTATAATCACTGATGCACACGTGAAGTTGCGAGTCACTTGTTAGGTGAATGCTTCAGATTCGGTATGGGATTTAGTCGAAAAACAAAGTGCAGGTGAAGATTGTTCAAATCTCTGATCGGTGGAGTAGAATATGAAATATGCAGTGAATATCAATGCACTTCGAACAGTTTAGTGTTGCACGCGAAAATCGCTCTCATTCCAATGCGAATTTATTGATTGATTTGTTTGAAAAATCGCCGATTCGATTTAAAATAGTGCCATTCTTCAAACACATCTTGACCGGTCAGGTAAGTTTACGGGATTCATTGATCGAAACGGAGGCCAGTTTTTTACAGCTGCCCTGAAAATTTGGAGAGTGAGTAAAAAAGCGAGCATGCGTGATATTCGCTACTGATTCCGTTTGGTAGTATCTATCAACGCGTAACAAACAGTAACATATATACACTGAACATGACTGTGTTTGATGTTCTTTTGTAGAGAGAGAGACAGAGTGGCTGGGGTCGTTCGATATTACCCCGGATTATGTTAGGAGGTCATGAAAATGATTCGGCCTAAGGAAGTTGTCAAGTGCTAACCACGGGAAGTTAAACAAAATTAAATGGAGAATAGATTCTCCTGGAAGAACGATGTATTCAGTTGTCATGACATGTCTTGTGATTGATGAGCCTGGATTTCTTTTATCAGTTTGACCTCTAAGACTTTGCTGAGTCATCGACTGTACCAACCATTTGGGACTATGTTCAGAAATCCGCTGTAACGGAGGGCCTATTCGTTCTGCCGAGGTAAGTGCCACCGCAGCTGTAGGTGAACTGGTAGACGACATGGATTCTGTTTTCGATTGTCTAAACTAATTGCTTAAACTGTGCGGCAGGAGGAGGCGAGTTTAGGGAAGACACCCTTTGTCGGTACATCGCAGATGGGATCAACCGGTGTCTTTCGTCTGCTGTGTACATCAATAAATTTCTGTGGACAACCCTTATCCAGTAGCGTCCTTTGAAGAAAGCCCTCTTCTTCTTCTCTTTGAAGAGTGTCAGGGGAGCAAATATTCCTGGTACGATGGGACAGAATCTCCACCAGACCTCATTTGTGTGCCACAGGAGCGAAACTAACACACTGTAAGTACAGGGTGACTGCTTCATCGTAGTCGAGCGTCTCGTGCCTGGCATCCGTGACCTTAAGCAANTCTCACCCTAAACGAGACTATCTGATTACCGGCTTGCACTTTTTGTAATGCTCTTGTTGTTAAGTTCAGTCCATCCGAGTGTTGATGACACTCCTGCCACACAGTCGAAGTTCACTGGGCCTGTTTGAGACTCTCGGCTGTAAGAAAGGTGTGGCTTCTCGCTCGGGTTAGCAGAGCAAGCACCAGGTCCCTTGTTGTGGCTGAACCATTCGATCGATAAATCAACCCTATCGGTCGTGTGATTTTCGGGTCGGCGCAGGAGGAGGATAGGTTCCGAATCCGATGCAGCCTGTGTTGGTAGAGAATCGCCCCATGAGAATCAATTGTGCAGCGGTGCGCCATGTGGGAAATTCCGAATGGAAAATGCCACTTGTACTGTGAAATGTATCAGATGCATAAACTGTTTGACATTCAGTTGATAACCGGCTTTATCTCGTCCTAGCGTCGTGCTAAATCCAGAGCTCTGACCGACTGGATACTATGAACATTACAGTAAGGGGTGTATGAGAGTTCACATCATTCTGTAATTCATTGTGCATTAAAAAAGTACGGCCCGACAATCCTGCCGTGCACAATACCA